ATTTTTGCTCTGGAAACACCTTAATTCATGTCAAGTATACATATATTGTTATATCAATCTCATTTTTTTTCCATGATACGTAATGAAAGAATGCATGTACATACTCTCGTTTGTTGCTAATGTGAATAAATTCATACAACGACCATCTGTCGCCATATACCACCCACTCTGAACAGAAAACGACATGAAGTGATGAAATCGAAATAAAAGAAACAAAAAGAAAGGAAGATATAAAAGAGTAAGATTGACTATCAATTGATTACGCCAAGATGAACTATTAGACATTGAATATAACAAAAAAAAAGGCAAAAATATAATTGAACACTAACGATGACCTCGAGTAACAGCTGGGATTTTTTTTATTAGAAAAAAAAAAGAAAGTATTTTCATTTGTTCGATTATTATTCTTGGATTTGAATGTAGAAAAAAAATATATAAGTGATAAAGCAATAGAGAGCAAATTATCATCTTTTATTTTATGTTTTTTTTTTGTAATGTCACAGTTGTGTATGTGTATATTAGTTTTTCTTTTTTTCTCTCCTTTTTTTCTATTGATTGACGGCAATTTGTTGTTCTATCGATTATTTTTTTTTTCAATTTTCCAATAACGTTGTCTTTCTTTGTCGCCATAATCATATCTTTCACTTCTTCTTTTTTTTTTCTTGTGCTTGTGAATCCGACTTTTACGGCTCTTTTAAACCCGAATTGTAAACGGGTTCGCACGTATTCGCCGGTTGCGTCGCTGTCTTCATTGATGTCGTCATCCTCTTCATTGCCATCGACAACAACTATAGTACCTTTAGCGAATGTCGAAACGAATACCAAAACTAATAATAATAAACAATATCTATGCTTATTTTATGTTATTACTGCTGGTTTATTAGATGAAAATATGGGTTCTGATGAACAAGAAATTATTGAAATGATTCATTTGATTATTGATGTCGATGAGAAAAAAGTGTGTCTAGTAGATCGTGTTTTTTTTGTCAGATATCTTATCATTAGAAAATTATTTTTCTTTAAATAGACCGTGGCTTTATTTCGTCAATATGTGCGACCCATATATACAGATGTTATTAATGATGAATACAAAGAAAAAAGTGGAATTGATGAAGAACTTGTAGTTTTATCTGAACTTGATCTTGATGGAGCATTGAGAAAAGTAATTATATATAGATCTATGATTTAATAGATTTTGTTAGTGGATTTTTTGTTTTTGTATTGTAGTTTGATTCATTCTTGCATGAACATTACTTACATCCAGATCTTGGAATTAAATTAACATTTATTTGTGAAAATTGTCTTCATCTACGTCAATGTCTTCATCCAGAAAGTGTAAAAAAGTCAATAATATCATTACCTAGTTATTATTGGTCATATTTTGATTTGAGACTTGAATTTGAACATATGTATAAAACTTGTGAACATAACAATTTAAATTCTATGCTTGAAAGTAAGTATTTATAAAAAATTTTTGTCACAAAAAAAAAAAAATAATATTATCCTTAATATTAAAAATGAAATATATCTATTCTTATATTTTCATATAGAATTAAATATTAGTCCAATATCTGAAAACGATTATTGTATGCGACATATTAAACATATGGAATTGATCGTTTATCAGATGTTAAATGATGGTAAATTTGTTTTAGAAAAAAAAATTTTTCATTTTAATATTTTCATCGTCTTTTTTTGTAGGACATCATTTTGAAAAACTTGAATGTATTATGAGTAATTTAAAACAAGGCATATGGTAAAGTAAACATCTATTGATTTTATTATGTATTTATTTCCTATTAATCTAGTACATTAGAAGATAATATCGAAGAAAGTACAGTGATTCGAGCACGTGGATTACCATGGCAATGTACTGATCAAGATGTAGCGAAATTCTTTCGAGGTCTTGATATTGAAAAGTAAGTAAATCTGTAATTTATAGGGTTAACATTGTGAAATATTCGTTATATTTATAAGCAAATTAGCTGTTAATATTCTAATAATTAACCTTGATACGACTACGTGGGATTCGCGCAGAATTCAGTCAGTTTCATGATACTGTTAGTATAAGTACACAATATTATATGAAATTTTTCATGTTTTGTACATGCTCTAGTGAAGACTAATAGACTATTCTATAATATCCACCGGTTTTGTTCAACTATTATTTATATGAATAAATCATCCAGAAGTGCATGTGAACACTTGTTAAATATCAGGGGTCGCCCGGATCACAATACGAGTCATTGTAATATTATACATTCAGAATAAGTAATCGAACCATGTCGTTTTAGATATGTGTTGGAAACACTGAGTACAGTACACTGATAACATCATTCAATCAGACGTAGTTTTTCTTCTTACGATAGAGCAGTTCAAGTTATATGTGAATATTGAATAATGATATATGATTTCAAACGTCTTGAAAACAGAGAATGACAAGATCATGAAAAAAGACTAAATAGATGCAATTCAAACCAACTTCTTTTTTTCTTTTTTCTTTTTGTAATCAAGTCTTCTCTAGAATCTTTGCGTGTCTATGATAAGCTAATAACAACTTCATATATTATATTTAATGTATCAATTGGCGTCTGCAGAAACCTCAGGTAGACAACATATAGTGGTCCACCTATGACACTGAATATAACCGATGTCGCATGTAAATTCTGTCAACGAATTGAAAGAATCCTATTGACGAAGGAACGTTTCTAAGTATCAAAAGTTTCAAATGTTTTGATTGTTTCGATTCTGAAATAGGAATATTGGACGCCGTCGTTGTGTACAAGCGACGTAAAATACATACTTTTATTGTAGCCACATCTTAGGATAGAAAAAACAAAATGATCTAAAACTTTCACAACAAACTATTCTTGTTAAGGCCTGCCTCTAGCGAAAATTCATGATATTCCTGAGGTAGGCCACGGTATTGTGCTAAAAAAAATGCTATACAGACATAATATCTCCGCAGCGATAAGCTACTAGGTCGAACTTTTTCTCAGGGTATTGATAGCTTACTAGGTCTTACATGATGCACATAGTCTTAACTCAAAAGTGATTTGACAGTTAGAAATGTACCTTCATCACACTATAACTAACATTGTCGATGGAATACACTCTTATAGAAACTCTTCTCTTTCATATTAAGAATCATTAAGACAGAAAGTCAATCGAATATTAAAAAGAAAAAATAAGTGAAAGATATATTTAAACAAGATTAACGTGAATGAATAGTAATTTTTCAATTGCAACACTTATTATCTATGTAGAAGTCAATCCATTCATATATAAAATTAATGCATGACATCGATTGTATCCAGCTCATGAATTGGATATCCAATCGATCATAAAATAATTCTAAAATAGTTTCGTCTTACGAATAGATTGTTTGAGTTATATTTAGTTCACTATTACATGAGCTAGATGGATCAATTCATAATCATTTTGAAGAGCACTTTTCATTGTAGTTTTTCACCTATAAAAACAGTTCTACAAGAACACTTATTAGTATGAAAGCATTTATTATACACAACGAGTCAGAACTTTTGAGTTATCCTTTAGATGTTTATTTTAAAATAACAGAACATAGAAAGTAATAGCATTATTACTAGAGTTTGAAATTTGAATTGAATAAAAGAAAAAATCCGTGATGGAACTCATCAAACAAAAAAAAAAGATTCTTCTTGTGAGCGTACAGGAAAAACATGTTTTAGGCTCGGTAAGATATTATGATTGAGGAATAATATTCTATTACATTTTCTCCTATTTTCAATAATAACGTCTCGATATCATATATATGAACTACTTGCTTATTGCATTTCTATAGAATTGGATAAAAAGATGGCGAAGAAATATGTTCCAAAATAGATAGCATAAAGCAATCTCCTATGATGAGTAACAGCAGCTACATCACATTTCACATTTTAATCCCATAGGAATTGTGCTAACAGCTTCCTATCATATATTAAATCAAAAAATCTTAATTAACACTAAAGCTTACTATAAAATCACATAAGATCAACGAATTTTTTCAATATTAACACTTTTATTCAATTCTTTCATTTATTAACAATATATTTTATAAAAATATAGAGACGAAATTAAAATTTAACATTTGACTACAAATAAATAGAACTTTCTAAAATCATACCTTTCACTATTATTCTATGTGAAAATCAATCAAGTTTATTATTCAAACATGAAAATCTTTGATAAGCTTGAAACATTTTTTTGTAATTTATGACTGTAATTCAATGACAAAACTAAACCATTTTTACGTAATATTATCAGAAACTAATTTATTTAATATATTATAGAGGTGGTGTCGCCTTATGTCTCAGTAGTCAAGGTCGTCGTAATGGTGAAGCATTAGTTCGTTTTTCAACAGTCGAACATCGAGAATTAGCTCTACGTCGACATAAACATCACATTGGACAACGTTATATTGAAGTATATAAAGCATCCGGACGTGATTTTCTCAATGTTGCTGGAGGTAAATAATTTTTTAATGATTTCGTTATTTTTTTTTTCTAGTCAAATAATTTCCTTATGTTTATAAAATATCAAAATGATTTCTTTCATTCTAACATAGTACTCATTCATTTATTGTTCTTAGATTAAACAAATATATTATTTGAAAGAGAAAAAATTTCTTTTCCTTTGTCGGTCAGTGATCTCTCTTTGTATTTAAAGCTTCCGGATCGTCGATTTCTTTCTTTTTTCTGTTCAATCGAAAAGTCGTTGATCATTAGCAAATGACAACATATTGATCATCGTAGGTTATATAAATAAGAAAGAAAAAAAAACCTATGAACAAGTATCCTATCTCTATTTACTTGAAGATTAAAAAGATTCGCTTATGAATACAATGAACAGTAAGTAAATCATATCATTATCGAATTGTGTTCTGTTTAATGTCTCGACAAACTCAAACATTGGCATTGATAAATTTTTATTAGAGAAGAAAAAAAAAGAACATCTATTGAAAGAAACAGAAAAACATTAATCTAATCTTTTTTTTTCTCTGTTTTCGATTATCGCATATACATTGAAGATAAATTATTTCAAATCTTTGCAATATACACGCGTCCTTTTACCATTATCATCAACACAAATATAAGGACAAGAAGAAGAAGAAAAAAAAAAGCGAAGTAGAAATTGATAGGACAATAATACGATGGATTCTTTTTCTTGTTCTTCTTTGTTAAAAAATAAAAAAAAAAAAGAAAAAGAAAAAGAGCACACACTTGTCAGTCGTCATGTATGTGTGTTCAAGCTACTAATATGTCTGTCAACGAAAATTTATCGTTCTTACTAACATTGTTAATGCTTGTCAGACGTGTTAAATACTCTACTATTTTCGATTTGATGTTCTTTCTTCATCATTCATTCACTTTCTCTTATTTTTTTAATCGAAAATGGTAGTCAATAATTGACGTCGGTGAGGTGTCTTTTTCATTTTTTTTTGTCCCCTCTTAAATCATTTGCACAAAGAATAAAAAACGAAATCACGTTACACATAAACATATACAAAATAAATTCAAATTTTTATTTTACTCATATTAATTGTTCAATGCAATATATGAATGGGTAATACAAAAGGTGTATCGTACAATAGCAATTTATATTATCATTATTTAAATTATCTAAAAAGTTCGTATATGAATATCTTGAAATAGTTTTTAGATTTATTTATTTCTATACATTACTATTGAATCTGTTTTCAATTAGAATCATTCTAGTGCACCTACACGATAAAAAGTAGTAAATAGTCTCCTTAGTATTACTTTCTTTTTGACTCTATTAATATCTTGTAATCCTCTATTCTTAGAAGAAAAAAAAGAAGTGAATATTGAAGAATAGTAGTATACAGTTTTGTATGGTTTTTTTTCCACTGTTATTTAATACAATCTTATGTATAAATTCGGTGAGCGTATGACGAGAATTTATCGTGATCTAATTTTCATTTTTTTTGTATCATATTTATTCGGATGTTAATTTAGGATCGAATTCTGAAGCTCATACATTTTTACAACGTGATGGTCAAGTTATTATTCGTTTGCGTGGTTTACCATTTGATGCTAACTCTAAAGATGTGGTAAGTCTAGTTTCTACATGGATCATGACTTAATATAAAGAATTTCGCATTGTCAAACCTGGCAATATATCCAACTGTTCAACTTCATTTTATGATTACGAATAGGTTTTGGTGAGACTGAGAAAAGTTTAAAAGGATTTGCGCCCAAAGCCTATTGATGAAGACCTATGGCCGTTTTAAGGGTGACTGTGAATGTGCGTACGACTATGACTCAAAAAACCCTATCCGTCACTATTTTCTATATGAGGACATGGTAATCGAGTCTATTCGAAAATTGACTGTCTGGAGATAGACATACTCGCTTTCGTTTAAAACTTCCAGGACTATCAAACATGCCTTTTTTAGTGTGACTTGCTTATCGAACTACCGTTTTGTCCATAAATAGGCTCCGATACAACTAGTAGAAGCCCATAAGCATTCGTACCCTTGGACTGTTCGTCCGAAGTTCTTATAATTTCACTTAGCTTTTTTTAATCTGTAGCAAGGCATTTGACAAAAAAATCAAAGTACGAAATTTCAATCTGAAATTTTTTCCATAGATAGATTTCGTAGACCTTAGATTGCATTGAAAATTTCAGCTAGACAGGATGTATTTTTCTTGAGATGGCGTTTTGGGTTGATATTTTCAGGGTATTCAAAGGTTCACGAGATCTACCTATGCGCAGAATATCAGTTCGATTGGCGAGTCACAGTTGGCCACCTTCTCTCGTCAGTAAAAATTCCATTAAAACAACCAGAACTCTATAACAATAGGCCATCGATCTGAATTTTCTTAAGCTTTTCTTCGTTATACCGAAACCTATTTGTAGTTATAGTATGAAGTCGAATAGCTTGCGGATATTTAAATATGTTCCCTTGTAAATTCAAAATACATATAATTCTTTAGCAGATTCATAGAAGCAATTCTATAAATATAGACATAGCAGAAAAATTATCATCATTGATTGTAGTAAAATGATCCTAATGAATTTCTTGTATTGTGTAAAGTCATTAATTAGATTGTATAGGCACAAAAACGATTATTTATGAAATATTTTAAAAACTCAAACAATAACAAGAGGATCGAATGATTAATAAATATATATACTGAGTATTACTTTCATAATAGACAAGGTTTTATTGATAACTCGAGAATAGAAGAAAAAAAAAATTTTTACATAATTTTAAAGGCATAAAAAGAAATATTTTTAATTTCATTTTGTTACTATTTTGTACAAATCCTAGTAAAAAAAAAAGAAAAATATTTATTTTATTTAGATCGAATTTTTTACTCGTGGTGATCAACCAAATAATATAGTCGATGGTGAACAAGGTGTTTTATTTGTTCATTATCCCGATGGACGAAGTACAGGTGATGCTTTTGTTATGTTTAAAACTGAAAATGAAGCATCACAAGCTTTACTTAAACATAAAGAAACAATGGGTACTAGATATATTGAATTATTTCGTAGTACAACAGCAGAAGTTCAACAAGTTAGTTTAATAAACTTTATGACTAAAAAAACAAAAACAAGAAAACTTTATAAAATATTTCTATCTAGGTATTTCGACGAAGTCAAGATCCAAAAAATTTTCAAACATCCTTAAAAGATATACCATTTGCACCATTACCTATGTTACCACCAGAAATGTTAACAGGTGGAAATAAAAAAGATTGTATTCGAGTTAGAAATTTACCAATAGAATGTGGTATTGAACAAATATTAGAATTTCTCGGTGTTCATTCTCAACATATTGTAAGATAATTTTATTTATAATTAAATAAATTAAATAATTTTTTTCTAGGTTGCACATGGTGTTCATATGGTTTATAATTCACATGTATTATTTTATAATATATTAAAGATTAAATCATAATAAGTCTCTTTTTTTTTTGTCTGTATTCTTTTAAGGGTCAACCATCAGGTGAAGCATTTATTCAAATGAATTCTGAAGGAGCTTCATTCAATGCAGCAACACATAAAAATAATAGATATATGTTTTATAATGGTAAAAAACGATATATTGAAGTACTTCAATGTTCAGGTGAAGATATGAATCATATATTACTTGGTCTTGTACCATCAAATTTAATTCCAACAAATATTCAACCACAAACAATCTATTCATCTCATCGAAGTTAAAATAATCATTAATTTATAAATAAAAAATTCAATTTATTTATTTTAGCTACATCAGTTCTACCTGTATCAACATTACAACCACAAATGTATCCATCAACAATACCAATATCTTTAACAACTCCATCTCAATCATCAACAATATCAAATATGCCTCATTCATCAATACAATCTTCAACATCATCGACTTCATTAGTTAGTGTTCCTACTATGAATGGATTTCATCCAAATACTACTTATTATCCTATGCAAATTTTTTATTATCCTACACCACCTATGTCACAATCAATTTATTTACAAACTGGACAAATGCCTACAACACCTATGACACTTGTTTTACGTGGTAGATTTTTTTTTTAATGTTTATTTTTATTTACATATCTGATTGATATTTTAGGAGATACTGGTCAATATTAATGAACATATGAAATTGTCTTTCGTTTCTTTTAGACAATACAGTGAATTGTTTTTGTTTTCTTTCTTTCTATCTATGTAATTTAAAATGTAATTACTTAGCATAAAAATCTATGTTTTCTTTTATTAAATGAGCAGTGTTTCGATCTATTATTCTCCTTCGCATGCGTTTATTGTATTTCATATGTTTATTGCTATTATGTATCTTCCATTTTACATTCTTATAAATGATGAATAATGTTTTTTTTTTCTGCATATTCAAATCTTAATACTGCTTTTGAGAATTATAGGTGCTAAATTTTCATTACAACAATGAGATAAGTGATGTAATGGTGATCGTAAACTACAAGCTAATGGTGAAAGTCACGTTTTTTTTTTCAGGCACTACTGAGTTGCTCTTAGCATAAATTCGTTTGAATAATACAGAAATTTGATCTTACCGTACGTTTATCAACTTCGTTGACGTTTATCGTAGGTTTTTTATGTGTTTACCCACTTCAATGATCTTGACGGCGATGATTGAAAGTGAATCTCGGTGTAGGGTTATTGAAAGGAGCACAAAAAAACGAAACATATTTTTTTCCACTAATATGTTCTAAATGACATAATGATTAACTTTTTGCGTTTCCTTTGGTCTTTTCTTTTCTTCTCATACGGCTTATTATGACGAGAATGAAACATCGAGAACATCGTCGATGATAAGTAGCAAGACCTATCATTCAAAAGAAATTAAATAAAGACAATATGAATGTTAAATTCTTGAAACTAAATAGTCTATTTTGAATAGTATAACATGATATTAGTATTGGTTTATCTGCTGAAGAGGGAGCTGTACCCCCCCCCCCCATAAGGTACCAATTTTTTGACCAGTTTGTAGAGCAAATGAAACTACATATAACCTGAAATTTTCTTGGTCGACCGACTTTTTTTGATAGAGTTATAGATTTCACAAGATACATGAGCGTTTTTTTTTTCTTTTTTTTTTTTTAACGCTTTATTTATTTATTATGACGAATTCACCATATGGCGCTGACCGTCTTATCACAAACAATGCTTCTAGACGCTACGAACATAGAAATATAGATTAACAAAATATAACCGACTGCTCAGAAAGAACCTGCATACAACAATAATGAATGACTTAAGTAAGAACAAATTCACATAGGTGATCGAAAAAAGTACGACAATCTTGATCAAGAAAAGATGTGAGTCTTTTGTTTGGAAGACCTGGTGGCATAAGTCTTATATGTGCTCTAATTCGATAATGATTATAAAGCATGTTGTATAAGTATTTGTATTGTAATGTGCATTCGATGAGCATTGATTCATAAAGTTGAATATTTTTCATACGTTTTAATAGGCATTTTTTGTATCTTTGTTCGATTGTGGGTAGATGAAAGTGAAGATGTAAATCTTCTGTAGGACATTGAAATACATAATGGATCAATCTTAAACATCTTCGATAGAATGCTGCTAATCGTTCTTGAGAGATATTTGAGAAGAGACAATAAATTGTTGCCATCATGTACATGTGTGGCCATACATATGTGTTAAAGAATTTAATTTTTAATTTCGAAAATGCGGGAAATTGCCGATGAATAAATTTTAGTATCATATAAGCTTTTCGTAACTTTATAAATTGAGCATCAATCATAATACGAAAAGAGAGCTTTTTGTCGAGATGAAAACCAAGATACTTGAAACTCTTCTTTTGCAAGATTTTCACTCCATCATAGCGAATATTCAACCTTGGACCTTGAACTGATTTATGATAAACAACAAACTCCGTTTTGTTCGGATTTAATGGTTGATGCCAGTCGTTCGTGTACTTTAGCAACTTCAGCATATCGTTGTTGATACGTTCTTCAATTTCGACGACTTGAAATTTCGATTTCAGATAAATTGATGGAACGTAAGCAATTGCAATATCATCAACGTATGCATGTACATAACCCGGATTTTCAAAATACTGAGGAAGGTCATAATGACTAATGACATACAATACAGGAGGGTGTGGGTGTGGGTGTGATGAAAGAGAACACCCACATCCACACCCACACCCCACCCACACCCACACACCCACACCCACCCACACCCTTAATCAACTTTTTTGATCGATTTTAATCTGATCTTACTTCTAATTTTTTTTCACATGAGAAAAGCAAAAAAATGAGCTTATGGCTGGAGCTAGAGGCAAAAGGCCGCTCCGACTCCGCTCCACCGTTCTGATAAATCGCTCCGCTCCATGGAGCGGCTGCTCCGGAGTCGGAGCTGCCCATCTCTGGTTACGCCACTAAGGAACCCACCGAAAAATGCCAGGTAGTCGACACAAGAATTCAGTGACCGTATCCGGCTGCCGGTTTTGACAGCTTCCTGTCGGTTCCGGGCGGAACCGGATAAATCCGATCACTGGAATACTGCTTCCATGAAATCTCCAGAATACCACGGAACCGGCCGTTCCCGTGCCGGATTGTTCGACCTTGGATAGGGCTGATCTTGCACATACATCGAGTTTCGATAATTGAAACTTCGAAATACTAATCATTTGCCCCTACTTTTCATAGAGATTACGCTTATTTTGTTTCTTGCTGAGACTAAGAAAGTTCATCGTATGGTATAGTGCTTTTATATCATCATACCAGCCACAACAAAAAAATCACAAAACGAACAAAAAATAAGCGGGGAGGGGGTATAACCTATGGGAAAGGCTCCAACTCCTTTTCATTGCTGCCCCCTAATTTCCCATAGAGGAAGCAATTGCTTTCCTTCGCGTATAGGGCGCGCCGCCTATGGGAACAATATCACATATACTGAATTTTTCGATGAATACAATTTATATATGGTTATTCTATATTATTATTATTATTATTATTATTATGTTTATAAGATTTAAACAAAGCATATCAATACCATTGTTTAATTAATGAAAAACAATCTCGAAACATATTTCAAATCTTGAATGTTTTATTTCAACTTAATCTAAACAACACATTCTTTGTTAAAATGCATTTCATATAGCTATGATAAATGCAATTATGTTATCAAATAAGTGACCTTACAAATTTTTTCTCCTTATCAATGAAAAAAATTTTCGACGAAAAGAAAAATAGCATCAGACATTCATCATCACATAACATGACTATATGAAAGTTATTCACGGACGGCAGCGAGAAAAATAAGAGATTATATATAGATCGGAAGAAGATGAGAATAACTGAAGTAAAATATAATCATTAGACATGAACATTTTAAGTAGCAACGATATTCATATACTCGATCTACCAGATGAAATGTTACGTGCAATTTTCAATAAACTGAATATGGCCGATATGCTCTATTCATTAGTAGATGTAAATCAACGATTTGATCGATTAGCACTTGATTCTCTCTACATATATCATCTCGACTTTTCGATCGAAGCATTCAATAATTATAATTCTTCAACGTATACTCACATTCTCGATAGAATTTGTTCGAAAATTTTACCTCGAATTAATCAAAAAGTAACTAAACTCACTGTTGATCCATTATCTATGGAACGTATTCTTGGCGCTATTGATTATTCTCAACTTCATTCATTATCATTTGTCAATTTTGAACCAAAAATACTCTCACGACATTTAACAGGTATATGTTCATTAATTTTATTTTATTTCACGAATTACTGATATTTTTGTATTTAAGACAAAACTA